CCCCCCCACTATAATGTTTTCAAGAACTGCTACAGCAGAAATGCATTATTGAGCTGTAAAATGCCTTCTAACCTTGAAAAGATTAAAAGAAGGTGTTAAATTACACGCTGTCTCATCCTTCCCAACATATCAAGGCAGACCTTACAGATTAGACAGAATGTGTTTTCATTCTCAATCTTGGCAAATAAAGAAGTTCAAATATTCTTTAAATGTCGATTTGAGGTAAAAACGTTGCTACTTCACTTCGAGGTACAATTTCGTTTAGGGACGTTAAAAGCAATCAGGATTTATTTTTTTTATTGAGTTTTGCAACATACATCTCTTAATATGTATGCGGCTAACTAAAATATCTAAAAATTATATATATCAACAAGAGAAAAAAATTTGTTCTACTCTTCTTTAAAAATAAGTTTTTGATAAAATATGGTTGTGGTGGAAGGTGAATGAAAGCGTTGAAAACATGNGCAACTAAGCAAATTTAGTCTTCACAAATTAAGGTGTAAGGATGTGTAAGAGTGAGGGGGAAAAGGGATGGGGCGCACATATGCTAAAAAGATACAGATGATAAGGAACATCTTGTGTTCCCAGTATAAAGAGACTGTTCTCTGCCCTGAAGATATTCAAATCAGACCTAAGGAGTTGCCTGAAGGCAGATATTCCAAACGCCCTCCTTCTACTAAAAGCTAATATGAATTAGACCTGTTTTTTTTTTTCATCCAATAAAGTAAAAAAATCATTATCATTTTGTGCAAACTAGTAGAAAAATAGTGTAAAAAAACGTTAAAATGTTTAACATTTTTTTTAGGTATGAAAAGATATTTGAACTAAAATAAAATTTTTCTTGATCAATGACCTGGATCCGGATCCATTTTTTTGAAAAGAGGATCCAGGATCCGCATCAAAATTAAATGGATCCTAAGCACTGCTTTAATGAGTAAAAAAATAAATGTAAAATTAATTCCGGCTTATTCGTTTGTTAGCACACTGATTAATGTGGATAAGGGCGTGTGCGAATTCTTGGAAAAATAAACAATTTTGCAAAATTAATTCACATCATCGAGTTTTTATACCTAGGATAAATAATCAGACACGAAAGGAAATGTACGCCAAAATATAAACAAAGTTTTGATTACTAGGAAGATACTACATTTACAGAAATAGGAAAACAAAAAAAAACATCAAAATATGCATGTTTTCTGACTAAAAAGTGATTTCTGTAATGGTAAAATATCTGGGTGTGAAGTAATTATCTAGACTAAAACATGTTATGTATAAATGTGGATGAGAAGGAGAAACTACCTACCTCTGTAAATGTGAATATGTATAAATGTGGATGAGAAGGAGAAACTACCTACCTCTGTGAATGTGAATATGTATAAATGTGGATGAGAAGGAGAAACTACCTACCTCTGTGAATGTGAATATGCCTGGTTTACTACATGAATTCCCAGTGACTTTGTCATTCAAATTTTAGGAGAACCAAGCTTTAATGCAGTTTTTATACAAAGCAGGTGCAGTTACGGTACAACAAAAACTGCATTTTTATACAATGCAATGCAATGCAGATGCTGATGCAGTTTTATTACAATGCAGATGCTGATGCAGTTTTTGTATAAAGCAGATGCAATGCAAGTGCTAATACTATATTAATACAATGCAGATGCTGATGTAGTTTTATACAATGCAGATGCTGATGTAGTTTTTATACAATGCAGATGCTGATGCAGTTTTTATACAATGCAGATGCTGATGTAGTTTTTGTACATTGCAGATGCTGATGCAGTTTTTATACAATGCAGATGCTGATGTGGTTTTTGTACATTGCAGATGCTGATGCAGTTTTTTTACAATGCAGATGCTGATGCAGTTTTTATACAATGCAGATGCTGATGTAGTTTTTATACAATGCAGATGCTGATGTAGTTTTTAGCAATGCAGTTGCTGATGTAGTTTTTTTTACAATGCAGATGCTGATGCAGTTTTTATACAATGCAGATGCTGATGCAGTTTTTATACAATGCAGATGCTGATGCAGTTTTTATACAATGCATTTGCTGATGCATTTTAATAAAATGCAGTTTAAAGCAATCTTTTCATCATTTTATGTAATGAAATCCACAAATGAAAATTGTAAACTTTCCGCTGAGAAAAGAATATCTCCAAACATATTTGCTCGAAACAGAATGGTACCATTGTAAATAGGACATACCACTTAACAAGAGGAGAGGGGGATTACATTGACAGTCCTAAAAGATGTTTATACAATCGCGGAAAGGTCTGTCTGACATGAAATCATATTAAACCNGGGGGGGGGGGGGGGGGGGGTGGGTCGTTGCAGAGATTGAAGGGAATAGGGAAAATGAGATATTCGCAATTAAAAATCGGCAGTTGTTTCCAATGGAATAACAACTGTCAGGTCTGCACCATGCCCTATGCAAGTGAAGTTGTCTTTTTTCTTTGTTTTAATCTTGAATATAGCACATGATTTTGTAATTTGTAACTGACTATTTTTAGAGACATTCCGGTAATTTTGTTACAAATCCTAAAATTCCCGGCGCAATTATAAGAATAAAATAAAAAACAAAGACGACTTTAATTCTCCAGTTTTCTGGTTACTCCTTCTTTATCAAAATTTTAAAATATCTATTGTAAGTTAAACAAAACTACTGATAAAACAACCAGCACTAGTTAAACCAGAAATATAAAAATTTCCATATAAAATTCTTTCCCCCCCTGGGGGGGGGGGGCAGAAATCAAAGACCCATGAGGAGGGGAAGGGAAGGTCGTAATTACAGGGATGGTCATACTTACAGGAAGGAAAAAAGGGAAGGAGGAAAGGAAAAAGGGAAGGAAAAGGGAAAGAATAGGGGAATGAAAGTGGGGAAATGGAGGGGGATAATGAAAGGAAACGGGGAAGAAAAAAGTATAGGAAAAGGGTACTAGTGAAAAAAAGTTAAGGGTGGGGAAGGGGAAAGGTAGGGATGGGGAAGTACGGACGGATCTTAAATCAGAGAGTTTTTTATAAATAATTTTCCCCAATAGTTATTATGCAGCAATAAACGTGATAAAAATTTCATAAGAAAAATGAAAAATCAATGCTCATTACTTATTAATTTTTCCAAATTATATGAAATGAATTCCAAGATTACTCCAGGACTGACAAATAATCAATCCCAACCTTTTTTTGCCATTGGCATCATACCATTACCCAAAGTTTTATTTTTAAATTGCCTGCGGCACCATTTATGCTTTTTAAAATGCATCATTTTAGGAATAACAGTGTACTACAATATAAATCTTAAAAAATTATGTCTTTTTTGCAATTTGGGGAAGGAAATCAAAAAAAATTGGAATTATATTAACACTGATTTCCCTTCGAGACTTGATTCAGATTTTCAGTTCAACTTCAGACAGATTCGTAAAAAAATATATTTAAGTAATTTATTTTCTGTAACTACTAACTATATTATACATAGCTGAATAAAATAAATAATAGGCAATGAACTATTCGGAAACAGTCTTGAAAAAATAAACCTCTTAAATTTTTAAGATACTTTTAATTTAAAATTTATAAATTTTCCGGGAAAATAAAAAATTGTTCGGAAAAAATTAAATGAAATAAAATAAAAAACACCTTCATATTTTTTCCACAGTGAAGAAAAAATCATACCCCGGGTAACTATTTTTAAAATGTACCTACCCAAGATACCCCTGTAGGACAAGAAAATTAAAAATATGTTTTACCTCTAGAGCTTTGAGCATTGCAGTGGCAAAAACATCAGCATCATCCTTACTACTGAAGTTCAACCCGTAAACCTAAACATTTTTTTATTAAATTAATTTCTACTGATATATAATAAAGCCGTCAATCTTCAGTGAGGTCTGTTCTCGACTGCAGAATATTTCAGTATTTTTTCTGCTTTTGTACGTATGTATTTATGTATACTATATATGTTAGCTATAGCTAGCCAAACGGCTGGACCGAATTGACTGAAATTTGTTGAGGAAACTCATGGATACCCTGGGGTGGGGGGTGGGTAACATGGGCTATAAAAAATTGAATTTTTTCTTCTTCAAAATTCAACTGGCAATGCCGGGCACTTCAGCTATTTTTTATTAAATGACAACCTGTCATTCGATGAAATTATGACCGATGCCCCTGTCCTTCCTGCGTATCTATGGATAATGCCCCACATTACACTTTATGTAAGCGTGATTTTAACTGACTCTCCATGCAAAGAGTGGCATGACCGATTCACAATGGTACCCGTGATCTTTTAACCGATCACTAATGTAAAAGATAAAGTCGTTTTTCTAGCTTCAAACGTGCTAAAATGGCAAAAACTTTATGGGTTACGGAATCGGACATTCCCCTATATGATTGGAAGGTTACTTGAAATGTTTGCAATGTTATTTTACGCGGATTACTCACCAAAACGTGAACGCGGTATTATGCATACCGCGTTACATACATATATATAATACATATATCGAAGTATCATTTATAATCTTCAGATTTGGCATGTTAGTTTTTTACACCTTACTTAGGGTTGCACATCGTCCCCTGTCACAACTAGGGGGGGGGGGGGGGGGGGCTAAGTGGAATGTGACCTATGACTGTTATAAGCAAACTCGAGTAAATCAAAATGAAGTATAATAAATGATGACATTATAATAAGGAGTAAAATTAAAACTGCGTATTTCAGTTGCTTCTATTATCAGGCACGGAATACGAGAGGAGAAGAAATTGCTGAAATTCCAGTTTGCTGTTAAAGAGCACTTTTTACCAAACTTTGTTTAAAGAACAAGTCTGCAAAAACAGGACGAGTTCGCTTTTTACAAAAACCGAACTATTGAAACAGAACTTCAAATTGGGTCATTGAGTAGCAAACAGACTGATCACTTATATCACATACTTTAATCCTTATATCTAAGCAACTTGATGGTGTAAAAGAATTGTTGACGAAATGTTGATTGACGCTTATTAATAGAGTGGGATGTTTGATTAACAATGGTACCCTAAATAATCCTTTATCTCAGTAACATTGAGGAAGATATCGCCGTTTACAATTCGAAAGAGTTGAATTCTGAAAATTTCCCTAATTGTCTATCCCATAGAGAATCCACAATTTCACAATAAAACTATTTTTAGCAAGACTAACTAACATATTTCTGACCAGAAAAGTTAGGATACTGTTGTGAACAACCCCTTTATTAATAAAAGATCACTTGAAGATTACGCCACAGGTTCCTTTAAAAGAAGAAAGCTGACTAAAAGGATCCCAAGTTACCTGTTTATTATCCCGCCATTGATGAAAGGTAGGAGTTGCTTGGTTATACTTTAATCCCTTCAAGATTGCACAGTTGATCACCACCTTCATACAATTTAAACAATAATTTTAGAAACTTTTTATCTTTAATGAAAAATGTTTTAAATGTGTTGATAATTTGAAATTTTACAACCTTTCAGTGCTTAGGATCCATTTCATATTGATACGGGTCATGAATGTTCTGAAGAAATTTCAAATATTCTTTTCTTTTTTTCCCCGCTTATTTTTAGGCTAAAACTTGATGATTTGAGTTTTGTTGTTGTTACAGTTTTTGGTTGATATTTTACCCTTTTGGATCCGGATCCGCATATATTTGCGGATCCGGACCCTGAAAGTAAAAATGTTGCGGATCCGCAAACTAAGCACTGAAAACTTCAATAACATTTCCTACCTCGTGATCCTGTAGTTTCCGTCCTACAACCCGGAAGGTTGAGTTGATTAAATGATGATAAATATGAACCTAAACAAAAAGTATTTTTCTTCTTTAATCGAATCTTAAATTGGATAGTCCATTGACTTAATCCAGCATGGGTTAGCTAACCTACCTTACCTATTCCATGACTTAATACAGCGCTAACCTACCTTGCTAAGATTATAGCTAGCCTACCTTACTAAGCCCAGGACTTAATCCCGTATGTATTTCCTGACCTACCATGCTAAGTCCATGACTTAATCCAGCCTTATCAGCTCACCTACCTTACTAATTCCATCAATTATTCCTGTATGTGTCTACTTAATTACCTTGCTAAGTCCATGACTTAATCCAGCATGAATCCACTTCTTATTTGTTTCATCGTAAACCATAACACTGGCTCTAGCGGCAGCTATACTCTGCTCAGGCCTTTTCTCACTAAAGAAATCCAAGTTTATTAGAAGAAAACTATTTTAATTCCGATTGTTTACTTTTATATTAATATAGCTAATTTAAATTTAAAGGGATACTGTGATCTCTCAAAGAGAGAAAATTTATGAACGATCTGATTTAATCCATTCAATCAGAAGTAAACAACTCGTGTCTAAAAATGTAAGAAATAAAATCTTTTTCGCCGAGCACTATATTCTTCATATTTTCACCCCAAAATTGGAGAAATGGTGGTGGGAGGTACCCCGAAAAGTGAAAAATAGAAAATTATGATAGTGTTCCATCTTTTACAAAAATTGAGGAATGAATATATATAAATTCAGAAATGTTTATTCATGAAACTGTGACTTTATTTATTCATCAGAGCAATAAAATAAACTGACTTTATTTTATTTTTAGATTGACAGCAAAACTTGATCTTATCTATCATCAAAATTAAATATTTAAAATTAATTTAAATCAATTAAATGCTAAAGAAATAATTCAATTTTAAACACTTAGACAGCACAGTGAGGTAATTCCAGGTTAAATTGAGAGTTAGTAAAAAGTTAACATAAATAAATATACAATTCTGTAACATGTTTAATTTTATGTCAAGTTTGGACATGAGGAGCAATATTTAAGAGAGGGGAGAAGGGGGCCGGGGGTAACAATATTTGCAGGAAAACAGGAGATCAAGAAGTAGCATTTGAGAGCAAGAAGTAAATGATGAAGTAAGAATTCAAGGGCAACATGTTGTCTCCACTACACACTAAGGGCAGTGGGAACTAATATTGAGAGCAAATATCAATTCAGAGTATAGAAGTTGGGAGCAAATTCGTGATATAGCCAGACTAGGGGAAAATTGCTAATTTGGAATAAAAAGGTGATGCAAAAAAACACTCAAAACATTAAGTTAAAAGGTTGGGGAAATTAGTAGTTTGGAGCAAATGGTAGTCTGGAGAAAATAGTAGGTTAGAACAAATGGCTGTTCAGAGCAAATAGTAGGTTGGACAAAAAGGAGGTTGGAGAAAATAGTAGGACTGAGAAAATAGGAAGTTGGAGCAAATATTAGGATGGAGCAAATAGTTGGCTATTGCAAATAATTGGTTATAGCAAATAGTTGGTTGGAGCAAAGAGTTGGTTGGATCAAATAATTGGTTAAAGCAAATGGTTGTATGGAGAAAATAGTTGGTTGAGAAAATATTAGACTGGAGCAAATAGTAGGAAGAAGAGAATATTAGGTCGGAGCAAATAGTAGTTTTGAGAAAATAGTTGGTTGGAGCAAATAGACTACAGAGAAAATAAAAGGTTGGAGCAAATAGAAGACAGAGAAAATAAAAGGTTGGAGCAAATTGTTGATTGCCGCAAATAGTTAGATGAAGCAAAATGAAATTATTAAAGTTTTGACAAACTTTAATAATTTGGGGCTAACTTTTTCTGAATGAAAATTAATTAACGAAGAAAAAATGTCTCAATTACTTTTTCAGTATTATCTTGACAAGGGGCCGGAGGGTCAACTCACCTTACAGGTATTTAAAATCCTGGAAAATTAGTTTTAAAATCCCCGAAATAGTTAAGTATGCCGACGTAATTTGTTACCTTCTAATTTACAAATGAAATGAAAATAAACTGACTTTAGGTGAAAAAGTAACAGGATAGACAATTTCCTACAGTAATATTAAAATCCTCATTTGGGACAATATCAAATTTTATCTTTTTTATTCTTTATTTTTGAATTTAAGGAATATAACCCCATAAATTATTTAGGATTTAAAAAATCTATACTTTTAACCTTGAACGAACAAGAAAAAAATTTAAAAACCTGGATGAAAAAAAAAACACTTTAGTTTCACATAACAACAGTTGCATAAATATATAGTTCCCCCTTGTGATGAAAAACGACATGTTGGGGGATTTTTTTTAGCAAATCTTCGTAGACCTGCCCCATACCAAACAGCTTTCTTTCCTTTTAAAGGGGAAACACGTATATAACATAAACAAAATTTTTTACCAACAATTTAAATACAAAGAACAAAAAAAACTTTATGCAAAAAGAAGACAAACAGAAAAAAACTTAAGATTAAGCAGAAATATATAAAAAAAAACATGATGAGATAGGTTGTTATTATAAATGAAGACACTTAATAATACAATATCACGATTTTGAAACAGAATCCAACAAAACATTAGCAGAATATCAATACAAACTGAGAAAAGAGGAAGAAAACGCATATATCCAATTCGAAACAAGGAACAACAGAAAAAAATTAATGATATAAAAATAAGGATAAGAAATATGTAAAAAAACACAAACTTAAAATCACAGATTAAAAAAGGAAACTGAGTTTAGAAAAAAATGACAATTCGGGTGAATCAACCCTTTAATAGAGGGGGAAATTTAATTTACAGAAAACGTTAACCCCTGTGATAAATTCATCTTGATTTCCTTGAAAGCTTGACATGGGGCAGGTTCTTAGGAGTTCCCGCAAAAACTTACACTGTCATGATTGCTGTGGAAAGCTGATGACAGATTGATGAATTAGAACCAGGGGTAAGTTTAGTCAAACATTGAGGTGTAGCAGACCCAGATTAAATGTTGGTGTAGCAGACCCAGTTTAGATACTAGTGTAGCAGACCCAGATTAGATGTTGGTGTAGCAGACCCAGTTTAGATATTAAATAGTTGAATGATTGAATGGAAAGCCCTTGTTTTCACTAATTATTATTTGTTCCTCTACTCTGCCGTGTGAGAAAGGTGAGATATAACTGAACTGAACTATAAAATCAAGCTCACACTACACTAGATAGATAGATGGATGCATAGATAGAAAGGTAAGCAGATGGATAGATGTATAGTTAGGTAGATAGATGAATAGTTAAACAGATAGATGATATAAATACTAATAGATTGATAGCTTCTATATATATATATAAAGTTGTAATCTCTGTTTGGGTGTTTGTTTGTATGATCATAACTCAGGAACCCGTAGACCGATTTGTCTCAAATTTTGATTTGGGAACTCGGGAACCCACGGGAATATTCTTAGCTTGGTTTTAAGATTCTGAAAGGAGTGGGTCGACATAAATAGCGAACATTAAGTTTCCCGGTAAAATTTTATTATTTGTTCCTCTACTCTGCCGTGTGAGAAAGGTGAGATATAACTGAACTGAACTATAAAATCAAGCTCACACTACACTAGATAGATAGATAGATGGATGGATGCATAGATAGAAAGAAAGGCAGATGGATAGATGTATAGGTAGGTAGATAGATGTATAGTTAAACAGAATGATGATATAAATACTAATAGATTGATAGCTTCTTTATATATATAAAGTTGTAATCTCTGTTTGGGCGTTTGTTTGTACGATCATAACTCAGGAACCCGTAGACCGATTTGTCTCAAATTTTGATTTGGGAACTCGGGAGGCCTACGGGAATATTCTTAGCTTGGTTTTAAGATTCTAAAAGGAGTGGGTCGACATAAATAGCGAACATTTAGTTTCCCGGTAAAATTGATTAAGTGCGGGTAAACGGAGGGAGTAACTATGAGTAACCTTGGCAGCGCTGGGTTCCCAACATGTTTTGAAAGCAAAAAGTTTTTGATCGGTTTTGTTGATATTTCTCCCCTTGTAAGTCAAAATGCTTCTAAAATAAAAATAGACGGATACAAACAGTAAGATAAAGATATACCACTGCCTGGGACAGCATTTAACGAATTTGAGCTACGTCGTTGGAACTACATTTTGCCGGTTCAAATTTAACCACAGATTTAAAAGTTAAATTAAGAATTTGAATCAGCGATTCAAAATTTCAAATTCATTAAATTTGGACCCAATTAGATAAGACTGGGAGAGAGATAGACTAAAACATTGATTGACCGTTAATTAGGTAATCAGGTAAATGAACTTAAGAAAAATATTTGAACTCCCCCCCCCCCCTGCCCTGATTTAAAAAATCAAACTAACAGTAGCAACATCCAAAAAAGGTTACAATAACAATACAACAATGCAATGGAAGGAACTGAAATTAATAAGTTAATCCATGTAAAAATATTAAATTATATATGTTCATATTTTTTCCATTATTCATTAAAATTCCCCCCCCCCCCCGGGGCCTAACCGACGACCCTTCAAAATTTGTATTCTTGTGAAAAGAATTTTAAGGGATTGTTACGCGTATTTTCAAGTGATCTTCCAAGCAAAGGCACACACTTGAACCCTCTAACTGATCTATAATGTTAAAGATATTGTCGTTAACCTAGGTAGAATTTTTATGTGTTTACTGCAGTAGAAATGTCCAAGTCAGTTATGTAAATGGCGTTTTCAAAATTATAAATATTGATATCTAATTCATGCTTGCCAAGAAAACCTTTTGAGGGTAACTTTGTGAATCAAGCATTAGGGTAGCTGTCACTGTAAATTTAACATATTTTCACTTTAAAAAACGCTCAATTAACTAACAAAAAAACTATTTTTTAAATTAACGCTCAATGATAAAAAAACTTTAAAGGGGGAGAGGGATGTAGAACAATCTGTATTAAAGATCTACCCCTGCCTGGTTTTATTGTCTGCTCTATCTAGTTTTGTTTGTTCACTTTAAATACATGATTTGGCTGGAATTCATTCATTCCCTAAACCAGGGCTGCTATGTAATATCTACTTTATATCTTTTCTTTGAAAAACTTTTTTACGCTCTTTTGATTCCCTTCTTTGCAAGGGAAAAATAATTTAAAAATAATAAAAAAATACTAAAATAAACAAATCATATGAAGAAAAAATTGAAAAAACTACATATGAAATCAAATGAAAAGTCTATAAATTGGAAAATGAACTAACATTTTTATTATTTCAAGTAAGCCTCTATTTTAAGACTGACATTGTTTGATTCACAACGGTACCCTTGAAACTTCTATCTAAGTAAAAATGAAAAAGATATTCGTTTTACTCTCAAAAAAGTGTTGAAATATTTTTCTTTTTTTCCTGACTTACGAAAAGAAACCCAAAGTTAAAAATAATCAAATGTTTGATGAAAAAAAAGTTTCTTCATCCTTTTCAAGAGGGTTTACATGGTAACAGTGCTTACGATCCATTTAATTTATTTAATTTTGATGCGGATCCGAATCCTGGATTTGCACTGGGAAAAAATGGATCCGGATCCAGGTCATTTCTTTAAGATTTACTGAATTTTTTTAACAAAAAATAATTTTCAAATTTTTATATATATTTTTCGCATATTTTTATCCCATAACTTTATGAACCATGAAATTATCCAGAAAGCCAAAATCTTGCGGATCCAGATCCGGATCCTAAGCACTGCATGGTAACAATGAGAATCGGTCATGACTCTAAATAAATAGGAGTTACTTTAAATTATGCGTACAGTCCCTTCAATTAGAAGAGAAATAGTTTAACCCTGTTTTTCTCCCTGTTCTAATTCAAACAATAAAAATTCTAAATGCAACTCAACCATTAGCACCCGTATTTGGAGAACTAGGAAACTTACAAATAAAAATATTAGGGGCGTGTGTCCTGTAAACCTAGCCCCGCCTTAATATATTTAAGGGGGGGGGGGCAATCTTTTTTTCTAAAATAATGTTATATAAACATGTTCTTAGTTCAATGCAAACGAAAGAGACTTATATACGAACTTAAAAATATTATGTAATGTAAATAACGTATTTTCATCATTCACAAGTTCGCAACACACTACCCTTTGTAGGATAAAACAAAAACAACTAAAGTTCGCGGATATTTCACGCATTTTCAAAATTTTACTAAATTTGGGCCCAGTCGTTTTGACGTTTATTCGATACAACCGGACAAACAAACGAACAAAGTTTATATAGATGCAAAAATCCGATAGAATTTAGTTCTCGCTGCAGCCGACTCTAGTGTAGATAATGAGAGAAGAAGGAAATGAAGGTGAAAGGTGTGGGAACTTAAACTATGGGNGGGGGGTGTAATTAAGTGTTTTGTATAAGAAAAGTACATGAACTTATTTCATTTATTAAGGAATTCTGATGCTTCAGGCATATGAATTAAGGTTAAAAATCAAAAATTGGAATTGCCAGTATGGTGAGTAAATTAGAAGTGCAAGATACATCTCAATTCGTACGGATCCAGATTAGTCTTCATGAACAACCCAAAATGTCGCGGATATACTAGAACACGGATCCGGATACATCAACCCAATTTAGAGAATAGTGATTTTAGACATAGGGGAGTGGGATTAAACTATGGATCCGGATCCCAAGCAGAAAAGGGGAGTGTGAGATTAAACTTTGGATCCGGATCCTAAGCAGTAAAGGGGAATGGGATAAAAGGAGGGATCCGGACTCTAAGAAGTACCGGGAAGTGAGATAAAAGACTAATCCGGATCCAAAACAGTAGTGGAATAAAAAGATGAACCCGGATTCTAAGCAGTAAAAGGGAGTGGGATAATGGATCCCGATCTTAAGAAGTATAAGTAAATAGGGTAATAGGACGGATCAGGATGCTAAGCACTAGCACTGAAGGGAGCAAGTTAAAAGGATGAATCCGGATCCTATGCAGTAAAAGGGAGTGGGATAAAAATACGAATCCGGATTCTTAACAATGACGGGAAGTAAGATATAAAGACGGCTCCGGATTTTTAACAATGACTGGAAGTAAGATAAAAAACGTCTTCGGATTCTTAACAGTGACGGGAAGTAAGATATAAAACGGCTCCGGATTCTCAACAGTGACGGGAAGTAAGATATAAAAACGGCTCCGGATTCTTAACAGTGACGGGAAGTAAGATAAAAACAGCTCCGGATTCTTAACAGTGGCGGGAAGTAAGATAAAAAAACGGCTCCGGATTTCTAACAGTGACGGGAAGTAAGATAAAAAAACGGCTCCGGATTCTTAACAGTGACAGGAAGTAAGATATAAAATCGGTTGAATGATGGTTGTTTGTATAGAAGTGAAATAAGGGGCGGTGACTAATTAAGATTAGAGAATGGTGGGGGCATCTGGACTCAAAATTACAGAACATGTGTTCATTCAAATTATAAGAGATAAAATCTAGAAGTAAATTAAAAACTTTTCAGATAACAATAAGATTAAGAGGTTTTCTCCTTGTCTTTCCAATGTTTCATATGTTAAGGTATCCTTCAAATCTTTTTCTCATCAAGTATGAATTAGATGTCAATGTTTATAATTTTGAAAACTGATTGTATTTAATGCATTTTTAATTCAGGAAAACATACAGAATCATTGGAATAAACATTTTTTAACCTAAAAAAAAGAAAATATCTGCCACATTATTAAACAGATAAGGCGATGATGTAAATCGGACATTGCCATATTTGTAATTGGGTCGCTTTAAATTACACGTACAGTCCCTTTATTAACTTCAACTGAACAATCAAAACTATCTTGAGTACGTATTTTGGTAAGGATAAGAGCATGAAGACAACGCCTGTGTAAAGTGGAGGTCGTATTTAAAATAACAGAATGGACTTCTAATAAATAAATCCCCTTCGGTTATTGCTTAGCTGAATTGGCCGGTCTTGTCCGCGGATTTTTTAAATCGAATTTTGAAATAAAACTTAAATTTTTGAAGATTTTTTTGGGTTAAAAATGGGATAACCATGGGATACCTAAACAAATGTCAGCCCATTCGGTCCAGCAATTTAACCAACTATAGCTAACATACAAACATATTTTATTATTATTAAACAAAACTTTTGGGGATATTCTGGTCCTCTAAGAAGCAACACCCATCAGTACTTCCCCAAACGAAATGTGTACAATCACGCCTGAGGTCGTCTAATCGAAACGAAGATCTTTATTATTATTATGTTGTCGGTATGTTTTACTGGACTCAGAGAAGGTGGTTTCAGTGCCTAGGATTAACTTCATTTAACAAGGATTCGAATCAAGCTAATGAATATTCCAAAATAGTTTTATTTAATTGTAAACTGTAATTCAGTATTTCTTAAAAAAGAGTATTGTTATGTCCAATTCTTTAAAGGTTTAAATACCCCTCCTTAAACAAGCACCCACAAACAAACAAAAAATCTTATTTGTTTTCAATGATACAAAGGTTTCAATTATCTCATGAATTGACAGATTTTTAAACCTGGAGTAGTTTAACAGAGAACTGAGCGTTGAACTCTAGTCGCAGTTCATTAATTACAAACTCAGGTGTTTTTAAAATAAAGTTAAATAGAGGCAATTATTTTAAAGCTTTATATTTGGAGTTTCTGTACAGGACAGGGGTGTATTGTATATTGTATATACTTAGCGCGGGGGATTTAAGATTTGACCAAACGAAGAGGAAAAATCCTAACAGTGAATAGTCTGAAAGGAAAGAGGAAAAGGATTCTTTTGCCCATAAGTTTCCTGGAAAGTCAGAATGGAAAGGGTGTTCAGCATTCATGCTCGGGAAAATAAAAAAATAAGAAAAAAACTTGAAAGTTGAAATTTGAAATTTAGGACATCAGCCTTAATTGGATATTCAGGACATCAGTCTTAATTGGAAATTAAGGACATCAGTCTCAATTGGAAATTCAGGACATCAGCCTAAATTGGAAATTCAGGACATCAGTCTCAATTGAAAATTCAGGACATCAGCTTCAATTGAAAATTCAGGACATCAGCCTCAATTGAAAATTCAGGACATTAGCCTCAATTAAAAATTCAGGACATCAGCCTCAATTGGAAATTCAGGACATCAGTCTCAATTGGAAATTCAGGACATCAGCCTGAATTGAAAATTCAGGACATCAGCCTGAATTGAAAATTCAGGACATCAGCCTGAATTACAAAAATTCAGGACATCAGTCCTAATTGGAAATTCAGGACATCAGTCTTAATTGGAAATTCAGGACATCAGCCTGAATTGAAAATTCAGGGCATCAGTCTCAATTGGAAATTCAGGACATCAGCCTAAATTGGAAGTTCAGGACATCAGCCTCAATTGGAATCTTGAGATAAAAAATGAAAAATCTCATCTGCCAATAAACTTATTCTTCTAAGGTGGCTTGAAAAATACATTTCATCAAATCACATTTGGCAGGGATGGTTTAAGTCTTCTTATTGAGGATTTGACTTTCAAGTTCTTCAAATAAATGTTTTTGGTTCAAACTATAGTAGTGTTGGTTTTATTCACGAAATATTGCAGGGGGCCTCTCACCAAAATTCATTAATGTAAAGTAATATAAATATATATACCCAATGGGATGTAAAATTTTAAGAAAAGAGGGGGAAATGATCTAAGATGAATTTGGGAGAAGAAAAAAATTAAATATATATACAATATGGGGTGTAAAATTTTAGGAAAAAAATGGGAAATGATCTAAGATCAATTTGGGAGAAGAAAAAAATTGGACGATAAAAAGACAAGCTTTTTCATGCTTTTTCATCTTTTATTTCTCAAAAATCTATTTTCTTCTTCCTTTTCCTTTTTCCCCAATTCATCGTAAAAAAGCAAACACACAAAACTTTCAAACGTTTCTTGTATACTTTTTTGGGGGAGGGGAATAGAAAAGGGGCAAGAGGTAAGGGAAAAGAGAGAAAGGAAAAGGGGGAAAGGGTAGGGAAGCGATAAGGGGAAACAGATAAGGAAAAAAACAAAATTAAAAAAAAAAAATAGTATTAGAAATGTTTAAAAAAAACTCAGAGGCGACCTCGAAGTTAACCTAGGGCAAAAAAGCTTCATTTTAATACTAAAATTCCCAAAAATTTCTTTGCACCCCCCTCCCGCCCCAGCAAACTTCTACGAAACTGCGCGGGTTTCAGAAACCTGTAAAATATACCTATTTAAAAATACGAGTCTCACAACTAATATACACCCCCGTTGGTTACCTCATTTTGTAAGGTTTGTGAGTGTCTTGTTCAGGCTCTCCAACAAATCATTTCATAAAATCTTCTACTTCTTAACATCTAACATCACCAGATTGTATTTATTCACTTGTTCACAGTTGAAAACTATTCGTCTCTAAGAAGTTAGCTTTCAGTCCATAGATAATTCTGAAAAATAAAAATATGTAGATGAAGGGGATTGAGTTTATTTATATTTTATATTTTAACTTATTGGACGCTTTATACACACTTGCAGAATTATAAACAACACTTGGGATTTTTTTGAGCAGAGTAAGAGGGTCGGGTCTTTGAAATTATTGTATATCATTATCTTAGTTGTTTATTTCCAATGAAACTAGTTCTAGTGCTGTCCTTGTACGTCACATTAAAATGTTTACAGTTAACACGTCCTTTACTCATATCCTTTTGTTCAATGCCCACTAGGTTTAATAGCCAACTTTTTTGAATACCATTTAACAATCCTTTCTGAACACCTCCAAACCTTTTCTGACCCCATCTTATGAACACCACCTATCCCATTTATGAACACAACCTATCCATGTCTTAGAAGTTCCTAGACCTCTGATGAACTTCGTAAAAAAAATCCCATTATTAGCTTTAAAGATACAATTCTAAATCACTTCCAAATTAATAGGAGTGGGAGAGGGGCGGGGCGGTGTAGGGGAGGTCTAAAAAAGCGTTCTATAAGACAGACCCCATCTTTCTAGCCTAATTCAGTGATATGTAAAGTTCTAGCCTAATTCAGTGATATGTAAAGTTATGGGTCCGTCATAGAAGAAGATTTTTGGACCCCCCAACCTATAAATTTTGTACATGGTTCTCATATGTATCTCATGGATATCATTGGTCATGTGGCCGCAACGCCCGGCCCCCTAGCCTGTCCTCGACGCTGCGCTCGGCCCCCTAACCTGTCCTAGACGCAGCGCTCGGCACCCTAGCCTGTCTTAGCCGCAGCGCTCGGCCCAGAAATTATCTTAGACTAACCTAACCCTAAATAATAAAAAATAAATAATAATAATAACGCTGAATAATAAGTNTAAACAACTTCTTTTGGACAACCCCCCCCCCTTTCCCTCATAAAGAAGATCTCCCTGCACTGAGCTGGCAACTTTTGTGTAAGATAATCATAATCCCGATCGCATGATCTCGATATCCACTGTGGACACTTGAATACTCAACATTTCCATTTAATTTATCCATGTAGAGTACAATTACATCGCGGACATGAGGTGAAGATTAACATATTTAAGCCTCAACAATCTAAATATCTAAAATAAATAAGTTCACTGCTCTGCTTTTATAAATTTTTAATATCATTGGTCATGTGGCCGCAACGCCCGGCCCCCTAGCCTGTCCTCGACGCTGCGCTCGGCCCCCTAGACAAAAAATTACACAATAAACTGTACATTATTATCATAACATTAATGAAGATAAACGTATTTCTCTTAACACTTACATCGTACATTTTATGAGAAAAGCTCAGCTTCCATTTCTAATATTTGTTAACTGACCAATTTTCACTAAAATTCGAAAACTTACATTAAAGTAACAGAGAAAGGGTCTTCTATTTACTAATACTTCAATTCTTGATTTCCTAGTAAGTCGCCATGACACTTAAGATTCATTCCTTTGTAAGTCGTGTCTCCTATTGGTCGTTGGGCGAAAATTATTGAATTATGATTGGTCAGATCTTTAAGAAAATACTGCGCTGCTATTGGATAAAAAGCTCTCAACACTGGACTCCTATTGGCTAGATTTCCATGCTAGGCCCGGCTATTATAATCTCTGACGTCACACCCATCCCTTAAGTCAGACGACAACACCGCAATATTTCTTTGTGATTAACTGATTGATGGTCTGGAATAAAAATAGTTAATAATTAGCGGCATTGTCGCTTGAACAACACAGCTGGTCTTATTTATTTATCATTTAATAACTTCACTAACACTTTACTGAGCTGAGCCTAGGGAGGAAGAACTGAATCGTAATGGACACTGAAAAACCAGGAAATCATTTTTTACTGAATGAATCAATGTTTAATATTTGTCCCTCTGATGGAGCGATTTTAGTTCTTTTAATATTTGCGCTGTATGTAATTTTCTGGGGGGTGTCATTTTTTAAGAAAAATGATTTTTTTTAAGACTTACTTCATGCTTTGGAACACTACCAACAACGATATAATTGGGACTGTGGGTTGTCCTGTGTCCTCATGGTGCTTCCAATAAAATCCAGGAACTACATCATTAATAACTTTAAACAGGTCATTTTTATAATTCTCATCATTTTATTTAGTGCAAATCACTCATTTAAAATAATGGCCGGAATAAAAACCAGTCCAGAAACTACATCAGAAATTCTTCTTTTTATCAACTTTATTTGAAATTAGCCTTTTAGGGCGCTTCGCGCCCATCTTCTATTTTAATTGTGAACATGTTCTCTTTGTGTATATCATAAAACAAAACAAAAAAGTTGGCGGATTTTAACAAAAAATTTCGTGGATTTTCAAAATGTTCAAAAATTTAATGAAAATCGAATTTTTATGGAGACAAATATTTGAAATTTTGATCATTCAATAACCTTCCCTGGGGCCACGTGAGGTCACACACAAAATTTGGACCTGATCGGTTCAGCCGCTTAGACGTTTATTGGATACAAACAAACAGACAAGCTAAATTTATATAACTAGCCTTAGAGGGCGCTTCGCTCCCATCTTCTTAATTAATTGTGAACATGTTCTCTTTGTGTACATCGTAAAACAAAACAAAAATAATTCGCGGATTTTCACAAAAAATTTCGTGGATTTTCAAAATTTTCAAAAATTTAATGNAAACAAACAAACAAACAAACAAACAAACAAACAAACAAACAAACAAACAAACAAACAAACAAACAAACAAACAAACAAACAAACAAACAAACAAACAAACAAACAAACAAACAAACAAACAAACAAACAGACTGAAAAGCCAAATTTATGTATAGAATATATGCAAAAATTACCAATTTATCCAAAAATATATCATAATGAACTAATTATTCAAAATTTCATGTTATTTTTTAAGCACTCTTTAAAAAAATGTTATAAAAAAATATGTGCGATTACGTTTTTAGCAAACAAACAAACTTTTCATCTTTAAATAGAATATGTAGGGGTACTTTAGAATTTGCAAAACATCATAAACAAAAGAGAAAGGTTTAGATTATACTTAATCATATTTTTGATAATTTAAGTGATTTTTTTCTGAAATTAGTGGAAATTGATTTGTTGATTTTCATTTTTTACTTCTGAAACTACAATTTATTATTATTTTAGACTGGTTTTAATACAATGTCCTTTTTTTGTGTATTTTATTGACATCATTTAAAAATTGCAGTTGAAACTAATTTATTCATATTAATTCCAAAGAAAAGTTACTCCTTAAACTACTCGTTAATAACTTTTAAACTGATTGAATGTCTAGGTTGTTGAGGAGGAGGGGTTCGGAGAGAGCACTTGGACAATAGATCTCTGTTTTCTGTTACACAGGTACCCTTCGTTTTCTGCTAAACAGGTACCTACCCTTCGTTTTCTGCTAGACAGGTTTCTACCATTTGTTTTCTGTAAGACAGGTACTTACCCTTAGTTTTCTGCTACACAGGTACTCTTCGTTTTCTGCTAGACAGGTACATACCCTAGGTTTTCTGTATTATCTGTATCCTTCAACGCCTGAGATTCTAAGGTTTCATCCTATACCCGTAAATTGACAGANTGCTAGACAGGTACATACCCTAGGTTTTCTGTATTATCTGTATCCTTCAACGCCTGAGATTCTAAGGTTTCATCCTATACCCCCTTTCATTTTCCTGTATAGTCCCTTACAGTTGTTCCTGGCCCCAGGCAATCCCACCCATCAGCGCTCCTCCTAACGATGCGCATATCAATCACGCCTGGGATAGCCTTGTTAGTCCGCTTAGACATTTACTTTTGCTGGACCCTGGATACTAGCGTACCCGGATGAAGGGTTATCAGAACCCTTAGTACTCTGTAGCCCTAGGTCAACCTCCTTGACACCATTATTGCGAAACCCTGTAAAAATACATCTATTTTCAACCTGATTACTCATGTTTTTTAAGGTTTCAGACCAAGTTCAGTTATCTGACAGTAACAATTGGAATAGATCCTGGATACATTAGAGAAAACTTCTATGACAAGGTTAGTCTACTCTACTTCAAGGATACAGTGATATTCAATAAACAGTGGAATAATTTCCGTCCTAAGTACTTGTAATTATTTATCTTTTATTCCTCTGTAAAGGATTTCAGGAAATATTCCTGTAATAATATTGCTGGCAATGAAATGGTTGCAATTTTGAAACCTTCATATTCAGAGCTACAAAACAATTAAAATTAATATGTTTTCTTTTGTCTCATCTTGAGAGACAAAATAATAGTATAAATTTATAAATACTTTATCCTAGGTCTTGTCAAAAGACTCACATCGAGTAAATCAGAGATTTAGGTAAAATTTTTATTTTTAAGATTTAGATTTAAAACGTTTCTTTATGGTTTTACTATTCTTCTTAAATTTGTTTAAATTAAGTGTTTTAACGAGTTTAATAATTACATCCCTTTATACGTGAAATAAAATTCCGTTGTAGCCTAGAACAGAAAGAGACCTTTTCCCACAATTTTTTTAAATTATGGAAAACTTTTCGCCAAAAGAAACTTATTTTAAATGACACGTTATAATTTAAGAATTTTTAATTTTAATTTTGATTCTATTTTAATGTTTAATTGTATTTATAGCGACGCTGAAAGCCTGGGAATGCATTTGGAGAAGAAATCAGGGAAAATAATAATTTTGAGATAATTGATTAAAAGTATTTTGATAGCTAATNGGGCCGGGGGGTTGTCTTAAAAATATACACCCATTATGTTGCATCGTTCATCCAAGAAGCCAAAATGCGGGTCGAACAGATATAGATTCTAAACACTGCTTCTATTTTTTAGAAGAATATAACCATATTTCTCAATATTTATAATTTTTATTTAAAATTATTGTTAAATGTTTAGTGCCAGTTAAAGAAATTATGGAAAGATTAAAAGCGGTGAGTGCCTCAAATGTATTACTTAAAGGGATTGTAGAGGACAATTCATTTAAAGAGAGACTCTCCGATTCACAACGGTGCTCTTTATCTGATCAACATTGAGGAAGATATTGTCGTTTTACTATCTGAGAAAGTGTTAAAAGTTCAAATGATCACAGTTTTTCAATCTCTGCTGCAAAATCTGCAAGTCACTTCAATTGAGAAAATGAAATCATAATAAAATAAAAATTCTTTAATAATAAAATTTTCAGATTTGAAAAATAATAATTAACTTTTAGATATTTGCTTTGACAAAAAATAAAAGGGTACAATTACGTCAACAGTTTCTTAAATTGGTCCTAAATTTCTCTGTATTCAGCTCTAGTAAAAATATCTGTATTCAGGCCCTCAGGGTCCTATAATAGCTCTAGTAAATATTTCTGTATTCAGGGTCCTATAATAGCTCTAGTAAATATTTCTGTATTCAGGGTCCTATAATAGTTCTAGTAAATATATCTGTATTCAGGGTCCTATAATAGTTTAGTAAATATATCTGTATTAAGGGTCCTATAATAGTTCTAGTAAATATATCTGTATTCAGGGTCCTATAATAGTTCTAGTTAATATATCTGTATTCAGGGTCCTATAATAGTACTAGTTAATATATCTGTATTCAGGGTCCTATAATAGTTCTAGTTAATATATTTGTATTCAGGGTCCTATAATAGTTCTAGTTAATATATATCAGTATTCAGGGTCCTATAATAGCTCTAGTTAATATATCTGTATTCAGGGTCCTACAATAGTTCTAGTAAATATATCTGTATTCAGGGTCCTATAATAGTTCTAGTATATATATCTGTATTCAGGGTCCTATATAATAGTTCTACTAAATATATCTGTATTCAGGGTCCTATAATAGTTCTACTAAATATATCTGTATTCAGGGTCCTATAATAGTTCTAGTAAATGCTAATCAACTGATCTGTGTAACCTGCTCAGATTTTTCTTACACTTGCTATACTTCTTGCCTTAGGTATATTAAAAGATACAGTGAGACTCATAAAACTCTGGAAAAGGAAGATGACATTCGAGAAATTAGAAATTGTATGTGTATTTGATGGTGTTATAAAGCAAATAGTTTTTCCCTGTATCTTGAAAATCAACTTAATAGTGGCAAATGGTTCTGTCTCCATCACACAATTACCTGGGTTTCATGATCATTTCAAGATATCTTGAAGTCGTCTTCCTATTCTACAGTTTTTTGGGTCCCACCTATTATTTTGTTTTCGTTTTTTTGTAAAATAAATACAACCGTATGTAAATGTAATATTGTAATAAAGCAGGTCTATATTGGAAATTTCACTTTGCATCATTTAGAAAAGATTTGTTCTCTCAATTCAAAAAAAAAATTCAGTAATACGCTAACGCTAGCGAAATTTTTTTGGTCAAAATGTTACATAATGGATATCAACAGATCCGTCTTTAAACGACACGTAACATAAAAGTTAAGAGCCAAAATAAGCAATTTTGATCCTCTACTCGAACAATTTTAAAACTATCAAAAATAAATAGGATATTATTCAGAAGCTCTCCAGCCTCCATGCGGATCTTTAGATATCCATAATATGTACTAACATGTTTTATAAATATTTTATTAATTTTTTAAATATTTTTTCCTTTTCTAGTTTAATTTGATCTACTAATATTTATCTTACAGAATTATTTTTTTATCTAAGTTGTTAAAGTTTTTATGCTCCATACAAATTCGATTGAAGCAGTTCAGATTTTTTAAATTCTGTAAAAATCAACCTTTCTTAGTTACTAAATAATAATACTAATTCAAAAATTATTTACAAATACAATCTTTCTGTCGCAACTCAATTCCCATGTTTTTTGGGTCACACTTAATGTAATAAAGTTTAGGCTATGTACAAACAGCTACCAAGGACATTACATAGTTCTGATCGGTACAAACAGGTGACAAAATATTTTTAATCTAAACTTGTGTCGTCATTTATCAATTCTAATTCATTTCTACAGAATAATGTTTGAACATTTATTATTATTATTATTATTATTATTATTATTATTATTATTATTAT